CTTTTTTTAAATCATTTGAAGCTGTATGTAAATGATTTATAGCACTGGGTTTCACAGGAGCTTTCTCAGGTCTAGAAGTTTAAGTTACTTAAATATTTTGAAAAAAAAAAAAAAAGTAGACTCCTTAAATTCATTTTTTAAAACTCTCACTAAGATAAAACTGTTTTTAAATTTATCTGGCAAAGTAAAAGGAAACTAAGTTTACAAGTAATTTCTGGAAGACTGAGCTCAGAAGCATAACTCTGTTCTACCTACTGCCAACTTTTGAGTCAGCGAATTTTTTAAAAACTCCAACAGGAGGAATACAGATTACTACATAATGACAATGGTATTTTACAAGATGTGTAAACAAATGCCAAAACAATCACCATGAAGGATGATATGAATCATTGCAGCATTTATGAATGTGAGAAAACTGCCGAAGTGAAGACTACTACTCCCAGATTCAAGAGACTGCTGCTTTATTTCCCCCTTTAGCAACAAACAGGAAAAAGAAAACATGTGTCAGGCCATTTCCTGGATATTTGATACCTGATCTGCAGAAAGATAAAAAGCATATTAATTCCCTAAAAATAACATACTAATTAAAGATTAAAAACAGAACTTCTAGTGAAGGAGAAAGACCTGTGAAACACAAAGCAGTTTATCCATGCGCTATCCTGTTTATATACAGGGTGGTGACTTGAGCTGGAGACTGAAAATGACCTACTTCCCTTAAATGAATAATTCCTGTGGGATGTACAAAATACTCATTAGAGGGCAAAATATGCAGCATACGCATCTCTTACCTTTTGCTAATTCTGTAATGTACCGTCTCCAAGTCTCCTGTTATGGGGTTTGAAATGGTGGCTCGCCTCAGCTGTGAAGCCAACCATCAAAATAGTTGCATTACAAGACAAAAAATGAATCACATTTACCCAACCAGTCAGAATTCTGGGGTTTTTACAAAGGAGGCTAAAAAAATAAAATAACTCCAATATTCTTCCAGTCACCTTGTGCTGAGCCTTGAACCTTGAGCCTTGAGCGCCAGTTAGTTTTTTAGGTTTTTTTTTTTTCTTTCAATTTTTTGTTTGTTTTGCATAGATGGAGGGAATACACACAAAAGAGATTAGAAATTAGGATATGACAGTGAGAAAATGAGAAATTTCTAAAATTTGAAATCTAATTTACAGTTTATATAAGTGGCCATCTGAGGGTGGGGAAAGGGGGTGGAAAAAGAATGGCTTTTGCGGTTAATGATCCATTCCAAAACCTGACTTTAACTTTTTTGTGTGATGGAACTGTTTGCAAAGGTTAATGTTTACAATTCATTTTAAGGTCAATTTTTTTTGTTCCTTCAAGGTATCCATTCATTAACATATACGGTAAAATAATCTTGGACTGAGAACCAAGGCAGAGGAAAAGAACTCATAAATGTTAAAATCAGTAAGAAAGAGGTAACAGCCTTGATAATAATTTCCAGTTTTTTTTAATGGAAGTATGATTCTGAGGTTGTAAGAGCATTAAATTTTATTGCTGTTAGTTATTCATCAAAAACAATCCAAATTGAGGAATTTCCAGGATATAACTTGGTCTCTAAGCTGAAATGAATTAATTCCCTTGGACGGCACCAATAATACATATTAATATTGGACCAGTCTTTGCATTTATAAGGTAATCTTTGGCCAAAAAAAAAAAAAAAAAAAAAAAAAAAAAAAAAAAAAAAAAAAAAAAGCATCAATTTGGAAAAGCAGTGAAGCTCTAAAAAAAAATTTTAAGTTCATTTGGCAGTACAGATGTCCAGATAATTCAAACCTTTGATATAACACGGGTCAACAAACCATGGCCACAGACAAAATTCAGCCTGCTACCTGTCACTGGAAATAAAATTTTACTGTAATATAGCCACACTCTTTCATCTACATATTTTCTTTGGCTGCTTTTGCACTATAATGACAGAGCTAAACAGTCATGGCAGAGATCATATAGCCTCCAAAGCCTAAAAAATATCTAATATCGACCTCTATGGAAAAAAATCTGCCAACTCCTGTGTGGTAACACAGCAAAAGCATGCTTAAAATGTATTCAACCATCTCTTTATGAAAGTGATGGCAGCTTCTATTTTACTATCAAGAAGACCAAATATGTTTTAAGAACAAGCTGATGGGGGAAAAGGCAAGAGCATAAAGAGCAGTCTTTTCCACATTCTCACTAAAGAAGAGTTTTTATGCTAAACATTAAGCTTATAGATTGGGTTTACATTAGATTATTTTTCTTGTTAAGATAAATTATGTGGGTTAAAGTCAGAAAACTATAATGTCACCATTTCAAATTAACATGATGCTTGTGCCCAATTATATCTTTTTATAATAGTAACAATGTGCCTAAAAGGGAATAAAAAATACTTCCAAAGTATTCTTTCAATAAAAATACAGACGTTATGAAAAAGCTGGGCTTTGAGTAGCCTCTGAGATTAGAAGACCACAAAATATATAGAAAAGTTTATACGGAAGACAGTGAAACAGTGTTAACGGTGAATAAAAATCTCATCAATAATTTTCATAATTCAGTGCTTAAGACCTAGTTGAAGGATACGATGTGTTAATAACAAAATGGAAAAACTGGCATAAAGAGAATGTCATTAGTAACTCCATTGTATCTTTAAAAAAAATTTGTGGTGTTATTGGTGTATCAATTATCCTTTCTGTTTTCTGACGAAGAAAAATTCATACAAAGGTACAGTAAATTGAGGAGAAAGAAAAGATTATTTACCCTTGGTTTTGCTAGGTCTTTGACGATTTCAATTTCTGCATCAGAAATAATATCATGGAAGCGAATAATACGAGGCTTGTCCCATTCATCCTCCTGTTTAGCTGGTGCCAGAATAAATTTAGGATTCCGGTTTCCATCATGGTAGCGACAAAAGAGTTTTTTCTGTCTCCGAGGGGTCTAAACATAAAGTTAAAAATACGATATGTATATATCAGAGTAATATTACTTTTAATATCTATTCCTATGCAGATAAGAGACAATAACGCTTGCATATACAAAGTATCTCTGGAAAACTATACAAAAGAAGCAGTACTCTGTGAATATTTTGCCTCAAACAGGACGTTCATAATTTTAAATACAGCATTAATGATTATTTTCTAAGCGAGAGAGGCGAGGTCTTAAGGAGAAAGGTAGTGTATCTCTTTTAACCCTTCTCTCATCAAAATAAAGTTCAAATGTTTAGATATGAAAGAAACAATGCCATATTTATGAAAATATTAAATGAATGCCCAGCACTGCTCTAAATGGCACAAAGTAACTGGGAAACACCCAGAGACAAAAAGTTTCTAGAAGAAAAAAAAAAAAACCACTAGGTTTTCCTGAATAGTTAAATGCTTGTGGCAAAAAAAAAAAAGAAAGAAAAGGAATTTTTTAAGGACAAAATAAAAAATGGATAGTCTCTGAAAAACAGAAAATAAGGTTGTTGGGTTTTTTTGAGATGGAGTCTTGCTCTGTCGCCAGGCTGGAGTGCAGTGGCACAATCTCTGCTCACTGCAACTCTGCCTCCTGGGTTCAAGCGATTCTCCTGCCTTAGCCTCCCTGAGTAGCTGGGCCTACAGGCGCCCGCCACCATGCCCAGCTAATTTCTGTAATTTCATTAGAAACAGGGTTTCACCATGTTGGCCAGGATGGTCTCAGTCTCCTGACCCTGTGATCCACCCACCTTGGTCTCCCAAAGTGCTGGGATTACAGCCAGCAGAAAGTAAGTTATTAAACAAAGATCCCAGACACTTTTTTTAAGGAATATAAAAACAGAGCAGTCAACAAAACCTTCAATCATATATGTATTATATTAATAAAATAAGTTATTTTGATGCTTATTCTTCTGTTTACTAAACAAGTATGCCAGGCCGGGCATAGTGGCTCACACCTGTAAACCCAGCACTTTGGGAAGCTAAGGTAGGAGGATCACTTGAGCCCCAGGAGTTCAAGACCAGCCTACGTCACACAGCAAAATCTCATCTCTACAAAAAATTTTAAAAATTAGCTGGACATGGAGGCACTTGCCTGTAGTCCCACCTACTTGAGGGGCTGAAATGGGAGGATTGCTTAAGCCCAGGAGGTAGAAGCTGCAGTGAGCCATGATCATGCCACTACACTCCAGCCTGGGTGACAGAGCAAGATGCTGTTTCAAAAACACAAAACAAAACAAAAACAAGTATGTCACATAAGCAGGAATATGATTAGTTTATTTCAATTATTATACTAATGATACAATAAAACAAAGAATGATTCATGTTTGTTCTCCCTGTACTTTATCTAGAGTCAAATCCAAGGCTTTAATTTTTCATAAGTATTTTATATAATGATGAGATGAATTTAGCTATTCTGAGAAAAAGAATGGTGGTTTTGTTTGTTTTGTTTTTTTGAGTGAGACAGTCTTGCTCTTTTGCCTAGGCTGGAGTGCAGTGGTGCGACCTTGGCTCACTGCAACCTCCGCCTCCCATGTTCAAGCGGATTCTCAAGCGTCAGCATCCTGAGTAGCTGGAATTTAGAGGTGTGTGCCACCATGGCTGGCTAATTTTTGTATTTTCTTTTCTTTCCCTTTTTTTTTTTTTTTTTNTTTTTTTTTTCAGACAGAGGCTTGCTCTGTTGCCCAGGCTAAATTGCAATGGCATGATCTCAGCTCACTGCAACCTCTGCCCTCCTGGGTTCAAGCAATTCTTCTGCCTCAGCCTCTTGAATAGTTAAGATTATAGGCAACCACCACCATGCCTGGCTAACTTTTTGTATTTTTAGTAGAGATGGGGTTTCACCATGTTGGTCAGGCTGGTCCTGAATTCCTGACCTCAGGTGATCTGCCCACCTTGGCCTCCCAAAGTGCTGGGATTACAAGCGTGGGCCATCATGCCCAGCAAGAATGTTCTTTTGATCTTAGGCAAAGCTGAGTATGCGTTACACTAACAAACTTGCAAATTAGCAGACTCTTGTTTTATAGCTACAGTTTTATTTTGTTCTTTAAGAGTTAGTAAAAGCAATAAAAATTTCTGCTTACTCTGAAAATTTGAACACTAGCTATTTGGTATTACAAAACTTGTGAATTTTTAGTGATAATAATACTGTAATTATTTTGAAATTGTATCTTTAAAAGATACATACTAAAATATGTAATGAAACAGAAAAGAAAATGTTTAATGAGTCTAACAGTGTCACTATCTTTGTACTTACCCATTAGCTCAAGCATGTCCTCCTAGGACTTCATGAACCTAACTATCATAAGTGTCACCATAGGTATTGCATACTTTGCTGTTAGTGGTTAAGCTGTCAACAGTCATCAATATCAAAACGTAAAGCCCAGCTTGAGTTTATTAGTAGGAAAGAAAATTTTAAACACTTTTCAAATGTTTACACTTAAAAGTACTTACTCCAAAAATTCACTAATTCTTTGGATGCATGCCTGCGTTCAACTGAAAGCTAATACCACATATTCCTTTCAAAAGGTTCCATAATCAATTAATCTTGAGAAACAATGTATGTCATATCATAATGCACATTATCATAAAAAGATTATGAGATGTCTTGAGGCTAAACAAAAACCAGTATTCAACTTTGTTTAACAAATGTTCCCCAGACTTTGTTCTTTTTTACTTTTGGCCTAATATCTATTAACATCTATAGATCTGGAATTCTGAATTATAGATATATTTTAATGAAATATTAAAGACAAAATCTGTTAAAAACTTTCTGCCTTTTGAGTATTAAATAGACTAAAGCATTTCACAAAGCAATCTTGTCAATATTAGGAGCAAAACTACAAGGGATTACTGTATAGATGAATCTGTTGTATCTCTTAAGATGGGTTAGAATAGTGTTATCATCTCTAATTAAGACTGCTGAACCACCAGGTATGGTGGCTTACGCCTGCAATCCCACCTCCCACCTTTGGGAAGCTGAGGTGGGCGGATCACCTGAGGTCAGGAATGAGACCATCTGGCCAACATGACGAAACCTCGTCTTTACTAAAAGTAGAAAAAAATAGCCGAGCATGGTGGTGAATGCCTGTAGTCTCAGCTACTTGGGAGACTGAGGCACAAGAACTGCTTGAACCCAGGAGGCAGAGGTTGCAGTGAGCCGAGACGGCACCACTGCACTCCAGCTTGGATGACAGAGTGGGTTTCTGTCTCAAAAAAAAAAGTACTGCTGAGAACTCTCTTGCATTAAATAAAAGAAAAACTATGACTTCCTTTAAACGTATTTGATCCTTCACCCTGGAAGGTAATATTACCACAAACATGTAATAGTATATGATTCACAAGCTTTATTTTAAAGCTATTTTACTAATAATTGGAACATATTAAATGTGGCACCCAGAGAGAGATAACCTGGCATACTGAAATTTTTTTAAAAAAGATTTTAGGCCAGGCGCAGTGGCTGACGCCTGTAATCCCAGCACTTTGGGAGGCCAAGGCGGGCGGATCACAAGGTCAGGAGATTGAAACCATCCTGGCCAATTGGTGAAACCCCATCTCTACCAGAAATACAAAAATTAGCTGGGTGCGGTGGTGTGTGCCTGTAATCTCAGCTACTCGGGAGGCTGAGGGGGGAGAATCACTTGAACCCAGGAGGCATAGGTTGCAGTGAGCTGAGATTGTGCCACTGCACTCCAGCCTGGAGACAGAGCAAGACTCTGTCTAAAAAAAAAAAAAAAATTTAGAGACAAGGTCTTACTGTGTAGCTCAGGCTGGAATGCAGTGGTGTAATCATAGCTCACTGTACCCCCAAACTCCTGGACACAGTGATCCGCCCACCTCAGATACCTGAGCAGCTAAGACTACAGGTATACACCAACATGCCCAGCTAATTTTTAGATTTCATTTAGTGGGGTCTCACTATGTTGCCCAAGCTGACATACTGTAATATGTTATGCAGTCATTCTGACTTTTATCACATAGGCTTAAATATAAAATAACTGATTCTCTCCAGAACTGTGTACAAACACATACACATACATTTACATACACACAATGGCTTTTCCACTTTACCATTTTGATACCCTCCCCACGGCACAGCATTTCGTACTTCTGTCTCTCTGGCAGGTAGTCCACAGCAGTCCCTTTTTTCTTTGGTGTAGTTTTCTGATCAGATTGGTCATCTGAAGCAGACTTATTGACATCTTTTTCTTTAGCCATTATATACTCAAAATATTTTAAGTTACCATTAGCTCTCTGATGTTCAGGATCTATTAGAAGAGAAACAAAGCATGTCCATGGGTAAGTTCATACTTGTTCAAGGATGAGAATACAGTAATATAAAAATAGTGGACATTATAATTTATCTTCCAAACCAGGTTGCTTTTGTGAGTGAAACGAGGCACTAACAAAAATTATTATACCAAAACAACAGGTATAAGCTACTACTGCCCCCAAGTAAATCAGGACATACAGTCACCTATATAAAAACAGTTCTGAGCCAGGCACGGTGGCTCATGCCTGTAATCCCAACACTCTGGGAGGCTGAGGTGGGTAGATCAGCTAAGTCAGGAGTTTAAGACCAGCCTGACCAACATGGCAAAACCACATCTCTACTAAAAATACAAAATTAGCCAGGGGTGGTGGTGGGTGCCTGTAGTCCCAGCTACTGGGGAGGCTGAGGCAGGAGAATTCCTGAAACCTGGGAGGCGGAGGTTGCAGTGAGTCACGATCACACCATTGCACTCCAGCCTGGGCAACAACAACAAAAAAAAATCCAGTTCTGGGGACAGAAACAGCCATTTATTTAAAGGTAGCAACTAGCACTTCTATTTTAAGAATTTACCACTCAGCTAAAGGAACTAAGTTCAATTTGATGTCAAATGAATTTTAAAATCTCACTCATCCTACTTACTTTAAGCAATGAAAAAGAGTTTTCCAAGACTGAAAAATAATCACATGAGGATGACAGGGGATACGCAGTTCAAAAGCAACCTTTACCACAGATACATTATAAATGTAGCCTGCTTCTAAGGGCTGAGTGAATCTCAGTCCCAAATTTCTAAGTTAAAAGGAAAAGGGAAATGAAAGATACAATTTTCGAACAAGCTAGAATCCACTAACTGCCTCAGAATTGCTAGTCATAATATTGAACTACCTTTTAGTAGGGAAAAAAGAAGACTAAGCTGTCCATCTGAGAGGCAAAAAAGAAAAAAAAAAAAACACAACAACCAAAGAACCACACACACATAAAAATAAAAAGGCAGAACGGTATATAGAGACTTCACTTATGACAGTAACTGTTTAGGATACATAGCCCTAGATTGTAAAATATTTCTTGTTCTTCAGAAACTGCTCATAGTATATATTACAATATCCAATATTAACCTAATTTTGTAAAACAACAGAAAAATGTGTGCAGGGAAGGGGATTATACTCTAAAAGGAAACAAATGTGTAGGTATCTTTGAGTGACTGGCTTATGGATGACTCTCCTCTATCTTTTTCTGTTTTAATAAATGTTCTATAATGTAAATTTAAAAGTACATTTTAAACTAAGAGGAAATATCACTGAAAAATACTGAAAGGAAAAAAGATTACTTGAACCAATATCTTAATTTATTATCACCCACCTAAGAAATAACCCAATTATCAAAAGTTCATTTTCAGCAGATCAATCCTTTTGAGCTGTTTGAGTCTTCTAACATACACATATTTTCCTATTTCATAAAAATAGTTTTTAAAGTTTTAAAGCTTCCTTATATACCAAAGGCCACCTAAACTTACTATCATACAAATTCTGGATTCCATCTCCAGAGATTACAATTTAGTAGGTCTTGGGTAAAGATCAAGCAATTTTCATTTCTAACAAGTATCCAAGTAATTCTGATGCATGTGCTACTTGGACCATACTTGAAAAAACACTACATCTCTGTTCAAAGTACTATTGATAAAATTCTCATAAGGTATATTTTTCTAACATTTAAATATGATAATCTAATATATTTTTAGCCCATCTATTTTAAATCACTTTATTTTAAAATATGAAATGCAATAAAACATAACACCCTTCAAAGGAAATTGATTAACATTTAAAATGGCAACATGGCAAACAAACATTTTTAAGTGAGTTAGGTTAGCTTCGATTTTGAAATTCCTGGAGAATACAGAGCAGAGCAACACAACCACTGTTGTAAGCACTATTAGGTGAGAAAAATCTGTCATCATTTACTTCGAGAATAAACAAGAAGAGGATAATGTATGTTTAACAAATAAGGCTCCTGACTTCTAACAGATAAAAAAAATATCAGAAATATTTAAATGGGGAGAAACAGAAAGATAGAGAATATGTATCCCCCAATAGAACTATAACCTTAAATTAGGCCCAGATAACATACCTAGTTCAAGAAGTTTCTTTGTGAGCAAAAGTGCCTTATCCAGGTCTCCCTGCTGATATACTGCATAGCTCAAATAATCTAGAACAGAGACTTTATCTATGGTAGAAACCTCGCCTTCATCCAGTTGCCTTAGCGCTTGTTCCATCCACAGTTCTGTATGGTAATAATCTGCCTCTGTATATGCCACTTTGCCCAACTCAAAGCAGTCCTCAGCTGTTAGAAAAGATTTGTGTTTCACTCCTATGAAAAGAAAATACAGAGAACTTTAGGAATCTTAACACTACCGTATATTTATTTAGGACTACACAGCTTTCAAAGTGCTGTCTCACTTTTATTTGAAGCTCACAATAATCCTCTGGATAAGCAAAAATTACCCTAATTTTATAAACAAAGGAACAATCTATAATGTAATGTAGCCTAACAAGAATCACACAGCTGGTAATAGGGGACATGGAACCTAGAGAACACAAGACTTAAATTATCAGCCATCAGACCAAAATGAAACATCCATTAAGTTGAAATATACTATTTTCTGACAGTAGGAATTACCATATGAAATATATCTATCTCACTGTTAACCAACAATCTGGGCAAGAGATGAATGTACAGGAGGAGAGGTCAACATGTCAACTGGATTCTTTCTTTTTTTTTTTTTTTTTTTTTT